ACTCATTACTGTCATGTCCGAGGAGGTGCCTCTAAATCTACGTTGTTTTCAGAAAACTGAACTGGGATATTTTCCCTAGTTTTTCTGAAAGGGTTTAATAAATTGAAGTTGATTAATTATTAATAAAAAATATACTCAGGTGACTAGCATTATCTCTCTTCTTAGAATATACTCCTGTCCAAAGAAACATTTATTCAAATTTTTTGTTTAAATTAAGAGTAAATAAAAGCCTGCATTATGTAACCTGAATAGAAATTGATACAGGAGCAGGTAGTTTCCCCTGACTTAAATTTCTGGGGTGCTTTGAGCTATTCTCCGCTAAGTGTTTACATGATTTACAGTGCAGCATCTTTCTGTACTCTCTCTTCAAGCCTTCTGTATGCAGAATGAGTACCTTTTACAGGGAGGTATTGTGCTACTTGTAAATAACCATAGTTAGCTTCATGTACTCTTTTTATTCAAGTACAATTTGTACTTTGACTCATAAAGCTGATGAGATAATAGAGATATCGATATGCTCAGGACTGTGTACTTAAGGGGAAGGTCCCTTCTGTGTGTAACAGGTTACGCAGTGGGCAGGATCTGCTTTTGCTATAGAGGTTGCTGACTACAGACAACTTCTACTCCATGTAATGGCTCCAAATTTCAGCAGCGTGTGTGAGAGAAAGGAGCAGGAGTCCTTCATCCCATTGAGCCCCTCTCTGCCTCCCTCCTTACAGTGAGGGGCCTGGACCCTCTGGAAAAGTGTGAGGAATACTGATTATATCAGTTTATTTTAAGGCAGGAGTCTTCAAAGTGTGCTCTTAGAGGCATCCCAACTCTCTTCCTTGAAGTGCAGGCAAGATACTAACAAAGAAGAATAAAACGCTGTACTTAGTTTTGTTGTAAAAGAGCCTATGATAAAAGTGGAGGCATGTGGTAGAAGAGCTTTCTTTCTTAATCTTTGGACTAGATTGAATGTAGGAGGTGTGGAAAAAGGCTAGCATCAGTGCATTATACACAGAGGAGGTTGAGCTGTTGGTTGTTTGTAAGCTTATATGTGAAGTGCGAATTTGAAATGTACTTAGAAATCCATGTCACTATTTTTTGTTATCCTGGAGACTTGACTCCTGAGGCTCTGGTTAACCTGTACCTCCTCAAATGTGGTGAGGGGGAAGAGGGCAGATTTCTGACATGGTAGCTGTTTTGCACATAGTAGACAAGACAGAGATCCCCTCATCGTGCCCACGCACTGCACGTGTCTGCTGTACATTGGCTTCATAATCTCCTTAGTAAATGTCACAAAGCATGAGAAAATCACTACATTTGAATAGACAGTGTCTCTGAAGAATATATTGTGGATGTGGAAAAGAGGAACTTCATTTTCAAAGGAGAGACAGAGGCTGACCTCAGCACTAAGATGCTCCTCTCTATTGAAATGTGGGAATAATATATGGAGCCGCACTAGTACAAACTGCTGAAGCGCCTTGGCGGTGCTCCAAACGAGTGCCCTTTCTGATGGAGTTTTTAATACTTCAAGAAGACATAGTATGTGCATTTAGATGCCAATAAAATGATTCCCTGTAGGATCCATAGGCTGCATTTCAATGCTAAATTATGATGACAGTGTGAATGATGGACCACCAATCACCAGTGAAGCATTTCTGCACAGACGTGCTTTTGCTTTCTGCAGTTTAATCCCTTCTTGTGGTAAAGTCTGTCACTGCTTCAACCCTTAATTGAGATGCTTCTGTCTGTCTGTCTCAATGCACATGTTGTGCCATTGCTGCTGACTCTAAAGCAGCCCTAACTACCTGGCAGTTTATTGACTGGAGCCTGACCTTATTGCATTCATGACCTGCAAGAGGCCACTGACAAGACTTGTTTGGTCTCCAGACAAAAAGCTACATTAAATGAACCAAAAGAGAAATCCATAGATGCGGCTATTGCTGCATCTGGCAATTGAGAGAGGAATGAGAAGGGAACTAAAAATCCCATTGCAATTATTCTTGGGCAAGAGTGTAGTTTTCTGTTTCACAGAAATCAAATAACTTTGAATATATGCTCCATTTAGTCTAAGTTGTATGCAACAGGAGGGGAATGAGCTTGCTAAACCTAACAGGGAAGAAGGGTGACCTTCTGTTAAGGGTGAGAATAAGGAACTGGAGCTCAGGTTAAGACAAGTGATCTGAAAGATTTCCCCATAGAGTGGTCAGAAAATTAAAACTTTGCTTAAGTTCTTGAAATTCCCTTTCCAAGATTCTGGATAGATTATTTTGGTAATAGAATTCAGTGGCTGAAACTGTCACATCTGTGAATTGGGCTAAGTATCATTAACCTTTTTAAAAAAAGAAAGATTTGATTCATAGTGGAAAAACATGATTCACATAAAGTGCAGCACCTGGCCAAATGGAGGAGTGAGGCAAATGCCCAGGATCCTCTTTCTTGTGTACATGATACTGTATAAATTGTAAAATACAGTAAAAGGGAATAGGGAGTAATTAAACAGCCAAGCCAAAATTTTATAATCTAGGCAGCAGTTATATGATTTGTGTGAAGAATTCTCGTCAGGAAAATGGAGAAATGAACTAGGAAAGAAAACATTCTCAGTGTTAATTCTGCCTATCTTGAATTTTTTTAAGAAATTCTGATTTTCTTCAGAAGTACTCATTAATTCTGTTCACATGCCCAGCCTAGCCTGAGACAACTCAAGTAAAATCCTGACTCTCTGAAGCCAGCAGCAATCTCGCCATTGTGCCAGGTATCTGGCACATGCAATTTTGACTGAAATTTACCCTGAGGTCTTGATTTCTTGAAAGCTGTGGGGCATCTCAATGTTCGCATCCAAAAGCTGAGGAACAATAACATAGTGACTCTGAAAAGTGTTGTCTCATTCTGCTGATGAGAAATGCAAACACAGAAAACTCAAGAATAATATTTATGTACAGCATTGCTTAGGTTACAATTGCATATACCCTGATTATGAAAGATTAGATGGTATAAAACACAATCATGCTTTCACATACACAAGACTTCAGTAAGAACTGGCTTTCTCTCATGTGGAGATTTCTTGCTTGGTACTGGGCACTAATGATTCTTGTCCTCTTAAGAAAAAAAAAAAATCATTAATGTCAAACCGTTCAGCCAAAATCATCATGCCTTTTGAGAGACAACTTTAATAGTGAGAAAATTTTTTTCTTTTTTTTTCTTTTTTTTTCTTTTTTTTTCTTTTCCGGCTGAAAATTGACTGGCATCAATCAGCAAATTGGAGACAGGGAAACTTTCAGAAGTATTTGTCTTCTAAACTGCTGTCATTGTCTGCAGTCTTCTCAGAACCAGATTTCTATTTGCTGACTGCATAGGCATTTTGTTGGAAGCTTTTTACTGAAAATACAAGAAATAACATTTGAAATGCTTTTGGATTTCTTATAGGATTTTGTCTTATTTTTAAAGCCTCTGGGCTAGATGTGTATTCCATTCCTTCTCACTTTTTATTTTTCTTCTAAATATGTTCTTTGTACCCAGCACAAAGTGGAATGCAGAATAATTAAGCAAGCAATTTGTGAGTGTCTGACTACAAAATACACTTCCCCCCAGCATTCTCAGTAATTCCATTTTTAACTAAAGCTTTGACCTGCAGTAGAGACAATAACAAATTGGTTCAGTCCTCTCATAGTTCTAGGTTTGCATTATAACTTAAAAACCTGTCCCAGTCTACTGAGATTTTTGTATACTTCATGATACTATTCTCACTTAATTCCCAATGACACCTTAGTTCTTAAACTTCTTACAGATTTTTTTTTTCCCCTAATGCTAGTTAAAGTAGTTTTCAACAGTAGAAAATGAGCAGAAAATCCCCAGTCAAAACTTTTCAATGCTAGATTATCTACATGAAACAAATACTTTTAGGTATTTTGCCCTCCTTTGACATTTGAAACCAGACTACTGCCTTCCTACAGGGCCACTTTCTGAGGCTCACAAACAGCTCGGCATTATACAGACAGGACCAAGTTCAGTTTTTCTAAACAAATTTTTCATGCCATGCCACCCACACAAAAGAGTTTGGGGCTTTCCTCGCCTCTTCAGTCTTGACACACTTCCTTTTTTATTCCCGAGGCTCCAGTCAGTGTGGCAATGTGTGGCCTGGAGGCTTGGCTTGTGACTCTTTGGATTTGCTCGATGCAATAAGCTGATATACAAATGCCCGGAAGGATTGTCAAGGTATGCTTGCTACACCTAAAAATTAAGGAGGTTTTGTGGGCTTGAGCAGTGGAAACTCAAGTTCAGGCTTGAAATTTACGTCCTTCACTTTGCTCTGCTTGTGTTGTAGTGTTCGCATGAAGGGCAATGCCCTGTGTGTGCATTTCATAGCATTCTCCATGGGAATATCAAAATTATAGCTTCTTTGTAATCAGAGATACAGTTGTGTCCAGGTATTTGGCACAAACTTTACTAGTGTGAAAAATGGGGGTGCCCCCGTGTTGGGCAGTTTGAGCCTGTGGAACCCTGTAGTATCATTATTCCTTGTGGTGCTCAAGTATTTCATTTGCTGGAGTAGTGTGGTGCAGCTGACAGAAAGGTTGTGTTACACACACCGTGAAAGGTCCCAGCAGCACAGCCGGTCCTGGTCACAGAGCCCACCGATGGCAGGAGGCGACCGGCATGGGGAGGCAACTCCTCAGGCCAGTGGTTTACCTCTTTGCAGGGTGTAGGTGTAGGAGGACTCACAGGCAGAAACAGACAGTGGATAGGTAGTTCAGGGCTGATGGTGAGATTCAAAAAAAAAAAATTTCACAGTGATGATCTTGGTAATGCTGTAAAATGTTTGTTTAGGAGAAAATGTCTATAAATTGGGAAAAAAAAAAACCACCAGAGAGGAACAGTAAAAGGCTGTACACAATGCCAGCTGCCATTAGAGGTTGAAGGTTTATTTTCAGACCATCGGTTTTAGAAACATTGCTTCAAATAATTTCATCGGTCTACGGAAAATTGCACCTTATACCTTTTTGTTCTGTTTTCAGAGTGGATTTTTATGGAAGAACGGGGTTGTTCTGAGTGTTGGACAGGTTAAGCCCTCCCTGCGCTTTGAGAAAAGCTCTTGGAAAAGATACTGAGTATTGTGTGTTGTGGTTGCATAGTGATACCATGGTTCTTGCTCTGTGATGAATAGTTTAAATGAAAGTGACTGGTGGGCTGCAAATAATCAGAACAGATTTTGTGAGTATACTGTAAAATAGGGGGTCCCAGAGAGTAATGAGCCTTTTCCAGCTTCACGCCCTCCTTGGAGTTGGGCTCAGGTGCTGAAAAATTCTCATGAAATTTCCAGAATATAACAAATAATCCCCCAGCATCAAATAAGTATTCCCTATCCTGAGTGGAACTGATAATTGGAATTAAGGCTTGAACTCAGAGGAGAAAAAGTGCTCCTATTTTTTTGTTTATTTTTAGTGGATAGCATTGAGAAGCAGCGTACATAACATTGCTCACTGGTAAGCTCCAAATAGTGTGATCACTAGCAAGCTGCCAGTAGTTAGTAAAAAGAGTTTTCTGCATCCAGTCTTCCTTAGTTCCCACCTTAGAAATTTCTCTGGGAATTTCATATGGTCCTAAGCTTGCATGTGTGTTATCCCCATACCGCAGAAGCAGCAAGCGCCCTTTTCCATGCGTGGGGGAGCATTAATAGCTATGTCCAACGGGCAAACAGGCATTCTTCTGGCTGGTGGTCACATGAAATTTGAAAGCCTTTATAATGTCCAGTGTTTTTACTGAATAGCTGATGCAGACATGGATTGCTGGGCACTGCCTCGGGATCGTCTGGGAGGTTACTGAGCTTTTGGTTTGATCTTGGAGCCATCTTCATGTGTAAATAAAGGGTAAGCATTAGTTAAGCGTGATTATCTTTAAGTGTTAGATGTTTTAAGGTGTCATGTGTTTCTTCATTAAACAGCCTTTGAAAATTAAAATAAAGGTCATTGGCCCAACCCAGTTCTGTGGTTAATTCTTTTTCCTGGTTTGATTTGATCTAATTAGTTACTTCAGGCATTTATAATCTTATTGGGGGACAGCCTAAGAAATGTACATCTGGCGAAAATAATTCTTCATAGCACACCACCTACTTGTGGCTCTGCATGTAACTGGTGCCGTGAAAATCAGCTTGGTTTGGACTGTGCGGTGACCAGAGGAGGTTCTGCCTGCAGCCAGGCCGTCCAGTCATCCATGGCACATGCTTGGGGGTCAATCGCTTCCCCCAAAGGTCGGGCACATGGTGCAGTGACAATGGGACAGTCTTCTGTACAGAGAAGTGAGGGATCAGCTGCTGCACACAGCAGCAGATGGAGAGAGAAGTAGGATGTGCTCAGAAAATAGGCGAGCACTACCAGTATGTGGTGAAAACCTCCAATCCCTTTGGTTTTTACCTGTGTGCATTTACAACAGATAAGCTTTTTTAATGCCTTCTTTTATCTCAGTACAAATTATTATAGATGAGTTATAACTGAAAATATGAGGCTTTAAAAATACTGAAGTTTTACAGCTGCAGTGTGTTGATCTCCAGGATCTCCTCTCTCTCACATAAATCTGAAAGCGCAGTAGTGGTCTGAGCTCAGTGCCTGTTTTTCAAATGATAGAAAGTTTTAACTGCTATCTTTTTCCCCCCCTGATCCTAGGTCCTAATTAAGCAGTAACCGTAAGAGCAGTAACTGAAGTAATCATTTCTCTATGCACTGATCTAATCTGAAGCCATGAGCAGCTGCAGTAGTTATGCTACAAAGGATTTTTCCCCTTTGGCATATATTGTACAGGCTGTCCCTCAATTAGATTACAAGTGCTTGAAGGCTATTGATTTTTTGCTCTGTTTTATGAGAATGCTTCTCTTTTTAACAGTTTAATTTCTCAGGTTTGAATTTGAATGATCAGGTCATGAAACAAAAAGTATTTATGCATCTGATTACTTGTTTGTGAGGTCAGGGAAGCTCTAGAGCACAAAACCCCCTTTCTGATTCCTGAGCTGCTGGAGATCCCATGCTCTGGGCTGCTGTCCTCCTCCTGCCAGATCACACACTCGAGGTGACTGTAAACATTAACAGTATTTCTTAAGGGGAAGTGTTGTTGCGGTGTTGCTTGCTGACATCCCAGAAACACACTGCATGTATGAAAATTACTGTACTGTGGAAATAACCCTGTGTTTTCATTAGGCTGATTTGGGTGTGTTGCTAGGCAACTAGGGGTAACAAGGGGGTTGTATGTATTATTTAGGTAGGAACAGGTCCCTGTAGAGATTGCCGGGTAAGTAACATAGATGTCAGAAATGCTGATCAACTGTGACACAAGAAGTTAAGCCCTGCAAACTTAACTTTCGTTAAGCGGAGTTTTTCAAGAAAGAAATTGGATTAGACCCAGAGATGACGTATCCTGTTTGATTTCTTTTCCCCTTGCGTTCTGACGAGCTTTGTGTTAGGCAGGCTTTTGTTTCTGGCTCTGAGTCGCTTTGAAAAAATTTGGGAGTGTGTCTCGGGGTGTCTCGGGTGATGTGCTTAGCTTGATTGGCTCGGTTTGCTTGCGAGTGCTTTGTTCTTCCCACCACTCTCAGGTCGGTTGTGCAACATGCCCCGACTGTTTAAATTTTAAAAAAAAAAAAAAAAAAAAAAAAAAAAAAAAAAAAGAGAGAAATGCTGAGTAATGCCAGAGGTTTCTCAAATGGCTGATGCAAACCTAGAGAATTTGCATCATCATTCAGCTGGAGTAACTTGGTATGACAAGAGCTTAAATACAAGTCCACGCGGAAGCTGAGCTGGTTTCCAATGATAGGGCAGTACCAGCTCGCAGTGTGAAAGCGCAGGTGTTCCTGAGCAGTGCTCACATCGCACTAAAGGCTCAAACACACTTTAGGGGCTTGCTACCTGTTCGTAGGAGCAGCTGGAAAGCTAGGAGAGGGCAGAGGAAGAGACTTATGTAGTTGGCTACACAGAGAGGAAAAAAACCCTTGAGTTTCTGCTGCAAACTTTTTTGCCTGTGCTTGCCGTCGGTGTGCTGGTGGCACTGTAACATGTTTAGGAAAGCTGCTGTAACCACCGTCTCTAATGGAAACTACTTGCAGGGGCAAGCTAATGGTAGGTTGCCCTCTATGGACAGCGGACAGCCAGCCCAGGAGGGAAAAGTTGTGCTGAAGAAGAAAGTGACACTTTTGAGGGGGATATCTATCATAATTGGCACTATCATTGGAGCTGGCATCTTCATCTCTCCCAAAGGCATCCTGAAGAACACAGGCAGCGTGGGCATGTCCTTGACTGTCTGGACAGTGTGTGGTATCCTCTCGCTTTTCGGTAAGTCCCTTAAAAGTTTCTAATTGGTCCAGAGGGGCGGCCGGTGGATTTATTGCTATTATTTGTCTGATTTTGCCATTGGACAGCAAGGCACAGTGTGGAGCCTGAGGACCAATAGGGCTACAGAATGTTTTTGCTGCCTGATAGGTTGCGTGGAGGGCGCAGAGGTATGCAACCCCTGTCCGCCTGGTGCCTGGTCTGTGAAGATTGGAAGCATAAATTATTGTTTCTTATGGGTCCCTAGAGGAACTGGAAAAGTAAATGTCTATTTTATGCTGTGCAATGTGCTGTACGTATAATGTTTTTCTTCTGGCTGTAAAAGGTAGTTTACGGTTTGCTTGTAAGGCCCCCGGCAGCTGGGGATGCAGGTCACACCGCTCAAACACTAGCGAAATGTTTAGACAGCTCGACTTAGTTCCCTGGAGGCTAGAGCAAGGTCCGAGAGGAGTAATTCCCACTGGACATAAGCTGTATCAGCATGAAAGGGAGCAAAATAATAACACTAATAACCCCTCTCCCCAGTCTTGTGTTACTGCTCTTTGTTCCTCACTCATGATGTTACTTTGAAAGATTGAACTGCAAAAAACAGTATGATGGGAACAAATTTGTAATGTGAGTTTTATTGGTGGCCTGCCTATCGTGACAGTTTTTACTAATTTTGTGTATCTTTGAAGAGAGTTCAATTCTGAAGAATGCCAGTTTATTTGTACAGTACACAAAGTCCCCATTCAGAGTGGAAAACCCCACCCTGGCCTCTGTGGATCAGAGGGGTCCACTGACCTACTTAATGAGTTAATCTCAAAGAAACTGAAGAACTAACATGAATATTGGCTTTATTTAAAACAGAAACGACTTGTTTTCTGGCAGGAGGTAAAGAGGACAAACACGGACTAACATGCGTCTGCTTAATAGGTGGATCATGCAAATGACACCCTGTGTAAATTGGCTCAGAGCTTAGAAGAAACATGGACTGTTTACAGGCTAAGCCCACCCAAGCCAAACAGGCAGTGAAAACAAGTTAGGACCTGTTTTGGTCAAATGTTAAATGTATTGCTACGATGTACAGCGTAATCTGTTATACAAATGTGGAAGTTCTGCCTGTATCCAAAATTCCCCCATAAAGACAGTCCTCAGATACAATTTGTAACTCCGTCAGAAGACCTTAGTCTTTAGGTTGAGTCAAACCAGAATTTTCCTAAGCATTCCTTTTTTGGCTTTAATAGTAGTAATTTTCTGGCTGTGAAGTAAAGTGTGTACAAAAAAAAAAGAGCTCTTTTATCAGATATATTTTCTAGGTCATTTTCCAGATCTCAAGATATGAAGAACTGTGTAATTTGGCCCAGCAAAAGATACTCTCTCTTTCTCTGAATGGACCTATTACAGTTATTTTTTCATATCTTCTATTACATGGGTGTTTTTAATTCCCTGCATGACTTAATTATAGTAAAATCACATGTAGAGATCACTTAAGGTTTCGCTGAAGCTGTGTGTATCAAAACACAATTACATTTCATCATGAACCTCAATGGAAGAGGCTGGCGATAGAAAACCCATCAACAGCATTTTTTTTAATGTGGCTCTAAGAATTCCTTTACATTTTCAGGTAAGCTGAAGAATAGCAGATAAAAACTGCCACATTTTTGCAAAGTCCCAGACAAAGCAAATGAACAAGGATGGAATTTGTCGTAACAGTACAGCTTCAGTGGGCTTGTATGTATTCTGTGGTTTTGACAACTGTAGTTTTCATCTTAAAGTGCTGCAGCATAAAAGCATGCAGGGAACAGAGCTGAAATCAGTTCAGATATGTTTCTGATCTTAACTCTATGTGATGCAGTGTTTACAAAGTTTATTACTGTTTTCATCTGGCTTCTCAGACCCTTCTAAAAGGGCTATCATACGACGTACAGTTCTCCGTTGATGCAGTCCACCTTTGGCCTGAAAATCCAATGGCTTTGTGAATGGGTGATTATTAAGCAACAGTAGCAAATAGCTGATGGGTGACGAAGGCTTCCTGCAGGTCCCTGTAGTTGCAGCATGGCGGAGGCCATGCGTTGTGCTGGCAGCGGCCTCAGGGAGCTCTCTGGGAGCTGCTTCTAGCTGGGAATACTGCTAGCACTTGCTCCAAAGGGGCCTGAACCACTTCTGCATGAACTACTGTAGCAATGTGATGATGATTTGCGTTTTATTTTAGTCAGTGTATGTGTACCAAAGGATGAAATGAGCCTCCTGCTATGAAAACGTGGTCTGTATTTAAGGCAGTGCAGAAATGAACTGAGCTTTCATTGCGTTAGCAGTACACAACAGCACTGCACCAGAGTTGAAAGGCCAGGGCTAAGCCATCTCCCGAATTTTGTATATAAAATATTGCGAGTATTATTGAGGAAAATTATTAATCTGCAATTCCTGCTTCCAAGTTTTGGCCAGTCGATTGCTTTGCCTGTGACTGAGGAGAGTTGATACAGTTTTCAGGCTTTTCTTCAGAGGCTGAGCCAGGCATCTCTAAGGCTGAAAGGAGCTGATCATCATCTGATAACAAGCAAATGTGTCAGAAGGCTTTCACTTAGCAGTGCAGTCAGGCTGGCTGAGGAGCTGGGCTGGCGGGTGTGACACAGTGTTTTGTTGTCCCTCTCCATGAGACACAGATGAGTAATGAAATGTGTTGATAGCAAATAGTTTGTTCAGTGGCTTTAGATGTAAATGTAACTGGATATATATACAGTTTGGTCAACTGCAAGTCTAGCTGGATGGATTAAAACTTATAAAAATGTTTTTTAAAAAAATTAAAATATATCAGAAATAGTTGTAACACCATGACAGCTCCATTGTTTAGCTTATAAATATTTTGAAAGCTATTTCTGGATATCTCTCGTGATGCCACAGTTTAATTCTCACAGGTGCCCTCTGCTATGCTGAACTAGGAACATGCATTAAGAAATCTGGTGGTCACTACACCTATATCCTGGAGGCCTTTGGCCCATTACCTGCTTTTGTGAGAGTCTGGGTTGAATTACTCATCATTCGGTAAGTGTATTGTGGCTTTTCTGTGTTTCTTTTCTGATAGCAACACATTTTTCAGTCATAACAAAAAATCTCCAATACATGATGGGCAAACCAAATCAAATATATCTTGATCAATGAGCTGTGTTCTTTTAGTATGATTGCTTCAGTGAATTTCACAATGCTATTTTGCTCATCATCATTGAAACATTCAAGAAGACATATGTACATGCATGGGAGGGTGAAAACTCAATTTTAAGAAAACTGCCTGCCACACCAGTTCAGCTACTTACTTGAATTTTGCTAACCTTACTGTATTCATTAATGTCACTAATAATGCTAATACCCATAGCTACATGCAGTATATTGGAAGAGGAAAGTCATTTTTACATTGTCTCAGTCTTGCAACTAGCTTTTGGAGTGGTTGCTGTTGTGTGTGGGTACAAGAATAACTCCTTATGAAGCTATTGCCCAGTAGTTCACAGATCTGGGGGCACCATGTATTCTTTATATGTCAATTCAGGTCCCCATCTTTTGTTTTTGTGTGGTGTTGGAGAAGTTAACTTGATTACTTACGAAAAACACTAACTGGCCAAATAAAGCAACATTAAGTCCTTACAGATCTAAGATGTCCAAGGTACTGTTTTGGTGTGTAAGCCTGTGACTCATGAAGCCCTCGACATTGTAGGTCAATTACAGTATGAAGATGCCGAATCGTCGAGTCCTATCAGATAAATTTTCATAATGTAAATGTATCATTGTGTCAAACTCAAAGGTGTCCCTTGGATTTTTTTTTTTTACTTTTTTTTTTTTTTTTACAGTATGGCTGAGGCTGGAGAGCTTGTTACATGTAGAACAGGACAACTCACTTAAGCAAAATGACTTTGGGAATGCTTCATTCCTGCCTCAGGCTAGTTAGCATGCCTTTTCTCTCTCTCTTCCGCAAGCAGCAAATTAGTCACAAAAACACAAGCCTCATTTTAAATCACAACCATGTTTACATAATATTGACAAGTTCTAGCATAGACAGTTGAATTTGAAAGCACTGACAGTGCTGAGTCATTATGAATCCATAAAGCTTTATCTTGTTTCCGGAGGAAATCATTGTGTATGTCAGATGGTCCCTTACATCCTCCCCACCCATATGTAACCTTTGAATTAACTGCATAATTTCCATCAAATGTGATGAAAGAGCAGATGTCTTCACCATATTTACTTTATGCCAAAAAGGAAAACCAGACAGAAGAAACAGACCCATGTTTTCGCTGTGAGAAGCACAGTGCTGTGTAGCTATAACATTGCATATCACTGAATCAACAAAAGAGAGTAGTGTTAGAAAACCCCCTTTTAACCTGTACCTTACTGGACAGGGGAATCTTAATAACCTAGGCACAAATACCCACAAGAAACCAGGCTTTATAAATTCCTCTCCTTGCAGAATTACCTTTTTTTTAATGTATGACAGTGTCCCAGGAGTGTCATGAAAACACTCTTAGTCATCGTGATCTGCCCCACACCCAGAAAATAATCATCTTGCACGGGAAGGAACATCAGTGGATTCTTTAATCATCAAATCTGAGAGGCAGCAAGGGAGGTGTGCTTGTTATAACTTGCAATGATCAGAGCAGCACTGCCGAAACTGTGTAGAGTTTTATATCTGACTCCTGCATCGGTAAACTAATTGGCTGCTGCTATCAAAGAACTTGAGACCTAATACATAGCTCGGGTTTTTTTTTCAGTAGACGAAGTTGCAGACACACTTCTCAGCTAAGCCTTTTTTTCCTCTCAAAGATTGCAGGATTATCACACCCACAGGCTGGTGGAGGAGCCACAACCAAAATAAACATTTCCTGCTCTTGTATATCTTTTCAGTCACTATTTTACGGTCTAGGACACACTTAAACTCTGCCCACATACTGATTAAACTGTGCCAACATCACCTGCTGCGTAGATGTGCCTTAAGTTGCACTTCTCATTCAGCAAAAGTAGGAACCTTTTTCTCCACAAAAGTCAGGTTGCGGGCACATTAAATACATTCTTTTTTTTTTAGAGAGAAAAAAAAAAAAAAGCTAGTTTTCAAACAAGTGGAGGCGATTGTTGTGAATGCGTTGTCTGTAGTGCTTAACTATGGTGGTTGCTAAACGCAGGCTGTGTAAGAGTGCGCTGCCAAGTGACTCACTCACCTGTGGTACAAGCTGGGGCACTAGACCTGTTCCTTTCTGGTGGCTTTTTGTGCTCCTCACCCCTTAGTGAAAGCTGCTAATGTACTTTCTGTCTGCTCCTGAACACACACACAGCTGTAAGGAGGCTGCCAGCCTGTCTTCAGGATTGCAGTCAAAAGGAAAATCCCCCATTCCTTCAACTTCCACCTCTGCTGATCGACTACACTGCCAGCAACATCTCCCCCCAGCCATGGGACTATGAGAGACACAGCTATTTATTAGAGCTACAGTTTAGGAGCTATATTTTAAAAACATAGTGGTGTGGATAGCAGTGACTGCTTCTTTAAAAAGGCCTTTCTTAAAATGAGAGGGAAAAATCTAAGTTTTGGAAAGAGGAGCTGGGACTGAAGAAAAAATTCTGGGAAAGCTCCAAAGATCTGATCTTTCATCTGATCTAGGACACTTCAAACTACTTTTGGCAGGCTGCAGTATTTGAAAGCCAGAAGCCTGGTGATCTTATGTAAACTAGAATTATTGCACCGAGGTAAAGTCAGTAAAAGTCTGTGTAAATCCAGCGCGGAGGCCATTTGGTCCTGAGTGAAGGCAAAAGTTGCAAAGCGAATTGTTGGCCAGTGAGAGTAACAGTGCTCATGCGTGGGGGACGCACAAAGAGCAGCCCTCGCTTGTCCCCTCCCAAACTTTTCAAGGAAGATACTTCTGTTCTTTGCTGCCCTGCAGTTTGGTCCAACGCAATGTGTGACATTTTGGTTGAGTCATAATGCGAAGAAAGTGGGTTTTGTTTCAAGGGCAGACTCTCTTGTGGAAAATTCCTTTATTGTTCGATGGAGAATAATAACGTATCTGCAGAATTTTTACATTCTTCCATTGAATTTTTAGCAACTATATTTTTATTAAAATTCTGTAAGGTGAGGCATTATTTTTTAAATGCTGTAGATGTCACAAGAAATTTGCATGGACTGTTGTTTAACTCAAAAAATCCTTTGAGGCAGAATCATATGACCTTTTGTCCTTACCGTGTGTGAGTGGGTGATGAAGCACAGATACCACCAGCTGTCCTCAGAAGGATGAAAGTGACCTCCCAAACCAAACGTGAACAGACCACTGGAACTGTATTATGCAGACTGTGTCTCATCTGAGGCACAGGGTAATTTGCTGTTAATATGTGTCAGTGCTGAGGCTTGTCTCAAAGAGTAAGGCTGTATGAATATTATGAGTATTTCAGATTTGCAAATGCATCAACTGTATGCCGTCACGTTTCTCTGTTTCACGGTAGGTGCTTTCTGTATTTTGACGATTTTTGTTCTCACTTGCAGTGCTAGGAAGCTGTTAGTCAATAAAAGGAACAAATCCTGTTTGCATTGTAGGAAATGCCATTTTCATTAATTTTTTGCATTTTCTCAGATTTTGATAACAGACGGGTAGGTTTTGGATGCTTATTTCAGTAAAGCAGAATTCTCAGCTTGATTGAAGTTAATTTGCTTATGTTTCTGAGTGGCGAGATATACCTGGTCACTAAAATTGAGTCCTCAATGACTTTTACTCCGGGTTTTGCCCATGTAATCTAATTCTGGTCATGTTCACTTCAAGTGAGTGAATGAAGATTTCGGTTGATACTTTTCTATTTATGGCTGCTTCACATCATGGAAGTTGTAAGAGTGATCCTGGTAAGAAGTGTTGCTGTTAATATCAGAACTGCTGAACAAAGCTAAACTGCTCATTGTTTCCTGCTACATTCAGAATCATGGCACATAACAAGCAGTCACCAAAAATAGGTATGGTTCACAGTTCTGTGATAGTAAAGTTACATCATGATCCCGTAAGAATATTATCTATGTACTATTGCAGATTAATTTTGTGATTTTTTGTTGTCGTTGTTTTTACTCTAGCCCTGCTGCCACAGCAGTGATATCGTTGGCATTTGGACGTTACATTTTGGAACCTTTCTTTATGCAGTGTGAAATCCCAGAACTTGCAATTAAACTTATTACAGCTGTTGGCATCAGTAAGTATCCAATTTTAGGATTCAGGGAAGGGTAAATATGATGTAAATTGGAAAAAAAATAAGCAGTCGCACACTGAACAGGTAGTCATTTAATGTGAATCATTACAAAATGACTGTGCATCCAATGCCAAGGGCATCAGCGTGACTTTTTGCCTGGGTATGTGTGTTTGTGACCATACGCAGTAGTAAAAAGAATAGCAGACTTTATTAATGGCAGGGAGAATCTATTGCCAAGGCTGATTCTGTTGCCACTTGAATTAATGGCAGAACTCTCATTACTTTTGTGAAAGCAATTTCAGTCCCTTAGAGACGGTGAGCCAGTGCCAGAGATATGGAAGAATGATTACCTGATTTTAAGTGCTTTGCTCTACCTCTGGTTTAGGAGGCAATCGAGTGCCAAGTATGATGCCATGAAGAAATGTAGTTCTCTTGAGTGGAGCACAGGCAACATGAGATCATCTTCCATAGTTCCACTCTGTCCTTCACAGCAATAAAACTTTGAGGCACTTGTGGTTCAGGAAGCAGGAACCCAGCTGATGACTGGAAGCAGGGTGTACAGCTTATGAAAATACACGTCTGCTACCAGCAGCTTGTCCTGCTCTTGCTAACTTTGCTGTTAGTGGAAAAGGGACCATTTAGGGCTACAGAGAACTGATAATTGCCAGCGCAAGAAGGGAGGCTACCCTAAAACCATGAGCTTTACAGTGTACCTGTGCCGGTGAGGGAGGAAAGCACAAATCGTGATGCGCTGCCGTGTGCCTGTAGTGTAGGGGCTTGTTTCCAGTTCTCTCTGGTCACTGGTGATGATTGTCCTTGCACATGTGCACACACATTCACATTCAGCTGTGCTGGGAGGAGAGTGCAGGGTAGACCTGAGTAATTAGTAACAGATTGTTCCTTTCAATTTGGTCATCACACTATCGGAAACAAAAGGACCGGAAAAAAGAATTAAGACATGCAAAACGATCAAAGGCACACAGGAGACCCCTTCGGTTTTGCACAATAATGGGTTCAGATGACTTTTTGTTTCTTTGAGGTAGAGAGTTCAATTGACATTGAAATTTCCAGTCTCCAGATTACTGTGGCTTTTTGTAGGAGCTCTCTTGATAAGAGTTCCCTTCTGCCAGGAGTGTTAAAAAAATCAGTATGTGACCACATTTCTTTCTAACTTAATTATGCACAAACTATAGGTTTCATAGGAATAATTGAATTAAGGGCTTGAATTTTGAGGTCAATGACTTTTTATAGCTACATCTGTCTGAAATATTTCAGTGCTAGATAAAGGTGAAACAGATGTTCAGTAACTTCAAGGTCACTGAGACAGAAGGAATGTTAAGTGAGGGCTCCATCAAAGCATTTTGTTAAGTGCATGTGATTCAAGCACAATAAGTGAACAATTTGAAATAGGTTTTTATTGCTTTTAATTTAATTGAAAATCTGTGTGATAAGGCAGGGCTTTGCAAAGTAATTAAACAAAGAAGTAGAATTGCAGGGGGGTTGGAGTTATGCTGAAATAATTACAGCCCAAAGGGAGAGAGCAGTTCACAGCAGACTGCTCCTATGGTGAGCGCGGGCCTGTGCAGCGCAGGTAGGATGAGCTGTCACTTCACTGAAAGAAGGGATTCTTGTAGAAAGCCTGTAGTGGTGAATGGGGCAGTGCTGAGGAAAACAGCGACATGTCAGACTGAGGCTTTACCTTTATTCTTTGCAGTACGTTCTATAGTGGAGTTTCATTTGTAGTAGGTTTTGATCACATGATACACTTAAGGTCAGGGATCCCAGAGTGTGTGACTGTTATTCTTCTATGGTAAGAATTAGCTGTTGTGGTGGTAATTGTTATGAATGTTTTTGTGTTGCGCGGGTAGGCAGTGATAGGTAAGATTAAGGTACTGTTGAGCTGAACAGATGCAGTGGAGCCCTGAAGATTTTATAATCCAATTTAATGGTGCCAAAGGTAGTGTTTGCTTCCACTGAAGATTTGAGGTTAATCAGAAAGTGAACTGATATGCTTTTTGTCTTCTTATCCACTCCTGGTCCCTTCTCCCTCCTGTGCCTGATGACAGGGTGCTCGCTATGTATCTGGCTTTATTGTGTGGGGGGAAAGGTAGTGGGAGGCACCATTAAACTCTATCCTTGGGTGAGACTTTGTTCTGTAGTTTTATCTTGTCATTTCTGATCATACTAGAAAGGGCAGGAAGAGATTTTGAAAAATCTCCAGTTGATCCCCTGCCCCCAAACACAATCAGCATAACTAAACAACTTCTGACAGATGTTTATCTAAACTGGTCTTAAAACCTCCAGTGAGGGAGTTCCTAAACCTCACTTAATGCTGTAGCCCATTTTTTTTTCTAACCTTGTCACAAGACAGCTCTTCTCATTTATTTTTTTACACCTAAACCTCCTTTTCTGCAACTTAAACCCATTGTTAAAAGGTTGCCCGAGATGAATGTGACCAGGATTATGATGAGTGGTGGCAAATACTTTTGGTCCTCTCCCAGCTGCAAACACGTACTTCTTGTAGAGGGGCTACAGTCCATTCTGCTCCCCACCATTCCACCACAGTGCCTCTGTGGTGAAAAAGGAATGATGGAGCTGCAGAGGAGGTGTAGATCAAATGAGACTTAAAATGGAACTACTGGAGATGGTGGCCTTTTAAAAAAACGTCATTCTTGGTTTATTGTTTATAGGCAAAAAACGTGCTGGGCATGAAATTCCCCTTGAAATCCCATCCATTCTGAGCAATTTTGAACAATCTGTAGAAGCAAATCTGTTCCACAATATGGTGCTTTTTTTTTTTTTTTTTTTTTTTTTTTTTTTTTTTTTAAATAAAAGCAACCAACCAAAATGTCCAAACATTTTAGTAGCTCAGTAGAGAGAAGGATGCTTGTGTAGAGGTTCTCTTGAGATATCCTAGATTTCTGACCCTCCGAAGCAAAGCCTGACTCTTCTTTTCAAACTTATAAATCACTTTAATTCTACTGGTATTTCTGAAACACATCTTCGTGAGGAGAAAAACCTAGGCAAATATGGGATATGCATATATCAGTCTGTCATTCTGCCATAAGCTTTTTCTAAACTCAGTCAATTTAACTGCACATGAGAGAAGAGCAGACATTGCAAAGATATCTAATTACTACAGTGGCCAGGTAGAGGAGAGAAAAGCTGGATGTGCCCCAGTACAGGGAAGGACAGCTGAAGAAAATGCAAACAGGAGATGAGGCCTTCTAAATGCCCAGCTTTGCTTGAGTTGGATACAACAGCCCCAGGACAGAAAGCAGAAGGGATGCAATCTGCCTTTGTTCTGATGCTGAAGATGGTCTTTTTAGGTGAAAGAGTTAAAAATTCATTTATCTCTTTAAGTGAAAGCTGGTAGACTCCTACATATTTATTGTTTCTTCCAGCGAAGAACATCCTATCATCGTGCCTATCAGCATTGCAAAGCATGGTGATAGTGCAAAACTCCCTATATTTATATATTGCTTTATTTGGATCTTTTAATTCTAGTCCTAATGGTAAGCCTAAGTATACTGGTAGCAGGAACGGATAAGTTATATTCTGCAAAGGTATTGAACTCTACTATCAATATGTAACCTGAGTAGATACACAATCTTAACTGAGCCTGTTCTAATCTTCTCACTTGGCCCCCATATCAGAAAGCAGATAAACAGGTTTCAGCTATTAAAAATTGTGTGACTGAAAGCAGGTTACCAACTTGCAAATGTTTTTAAATTTTTTACACTCATGTGTGTGTATTTTGGGTGTTTTACACTGCAATGATAAATAATTTCCCCCGTTTTTTGGAGCTCTGCCAAAAAACCTCAAATACCCCAAACTATGGTTGTTAGAGGAAATATTATGCTTGAAAACCAAGATCAGCTGTACAGATCTATCAGTGCTTGCTGGCAAATACTCTATCCCAAAGCTTTATTGTCATAAATTTGGTGTGTATGTGAGTCTATAGTTAGTTGTGTTTTTTTTTTTTTTATCATGGCAGATGTTACAGCTGTCACTTTCTACTGCTGTTAGTTTTCAGACAAGCAGTTTAAATTAAGACATCTCTGGGCTTGCAGGGATAGCAAAAGCTACTCTGGTGGGTGCTTTTGTGGCTCCTGTGACTTCATTTTAATTCACGCATTAGGATCTGCAAATTGAGGGTATTTTTTGTTTTGTGTGAATGCCTTGACCTTAAAAGGTCAAGTTAGAGGAGGACAGATTCCTTAGATTCCTGCTGAGGCAATGGTACATATATTTTTGAAAAGCAGGCCAGGATGTAATGTTTACTGTTGCTTCGCCCATTAGATTTCATTATCCATCTATAGCTGTAGCTGTATGAAGGAGAGATTGTGAAAAGCAACATGGTCGGTGTTACCATTGTGTTTGATTGGACATGAATGCCTTTTTGTTCTTCCTTCATAATCCCCTCAGTTAGGATTCATCTCACTATTAGTTAGGTGTTTAGTTTAAGGTAATTGTCTGTGCTCCCCACAGAGTTCGTGGAGAAAGAGGGAGACACTTCCTGAAGGCAGCTCACCTCATCTGAGATAGGCATCTGAAAAAGGTGTTATTCATCCTCTGGAGGTAACTCTTCATTGAGGATGCAGCCACACTAGATGTCTGACTTTTAGTTAGGAAAGCTAGAGATGAGTCCTCCTTTCACTGCCCTTTTGTCTGGGGAGTTGCTGCTTTCTTCTGATCTTTGCTGTGATCCTGTATCAAAGCATCTGCAATCAGTTTCTTGAAGTATCTCCATAAGGCCCTATTCATAAAAGAGAGGTGTTGAATAATGACCGTAGTCCCAAGATATAATTTCCTTCCTGAAACCTGGCACAGTTGCCACATTCTTTTCCTGATCTTTGGAAGCTTTCTCCATGACTCCTCTTCTCCTTGCCTTTCACTACCCAGTTGCTAACACAACCAGTATGGTGCTGGTATGTGAGAGCAGTATAAGCCCCACATCCCTGTATGCCTGTTATGCACATAGAACTGCTAAGACTAAATATTTTAAGACAACTGTAAATTATTATAGCCTATTAAGTGCAATAAAATGAAATTCAAAAAAGTACACAGTTGGTCTCAAATCGTCTAAGAACTTAAGTCTCAGCTCTGCAACCTGAACTACTCTATTTGTACAACCATCCAACTCGGCAAGGGACTTAGTCTTATGGAGGACCACCAAAACTAACAGCACGTGCACGTGTAGTGATCCTTCAGTTTCCTGATTAAATGAAGGTTCATGCAGTGTCTGTTTTCCTTTTGCTATTTGATTAGAAGGGCCTCAGAAAACATTTGGCTGTCTTGAACTCACAGTTAGGGATGGAGAAGGTTTTAACACAGCCTGCTCACAAGGAGGCTATCTTCATGAAAATACCAGTCTGCATTTCTTTCTTTCAAGCCAGCATAGCTCTTCTACAGATATGGGCCTTGTGATTTGTGTGTGGTTGGCCAGCAAGGAAGGTTATGAGTTTCTGTGTGAGTTGATGTTCACACTAGTTTGCCACCCAGTGACATTCTCATATGCGTATCCATAAGGTGGAACTGATACATTAGAAAACCTTGAGGAGGGGTCTCTGCAGGGAGGATGCTCATGTTAGTTATTCTGACCTGTGTAAGGCAACAGACTGATTGCTGCAGTCAGCTTGAGCTCTGAATAAGCGGGATGCCAAATTGCAGATACTTTCTTACACATAAATCCCTTCCTTTACATTTTCTTGTGGCCTGGTCCTTGCCTGGGCTTTGTCTTCTTGGAAAGAAAAGTACGATATCCTGAACTTCCTAGGAAATCTGAAATAAACCTATTGTTGTTTATGGCACTGGAATTTCTTTATAACTTAAACACTGTTGGTCAGATGAATATTTTAAATATATTTTGCTTAAATGACAGTTGTTAAACTTCCTGGTAATCAAGCCCTAGGAAAAGAAGGGGAGGCTCAATCAGCACTAATGTTCAGTAGCAGCCTAAAGGGATCTTTCAACATTTAAATGAGTGAAGGTATGTCAGGGTAGTATTGGGACAATAGAGTAATAATTCAGGCCCCTGGGATTCTCTGTTTCCTACCAAGTATACATATACACAGAAGTAATAAAGCAAAAAAATAAGTATTTGGATCTGAAGTGATTCTTTGCAGAAGTCCAAGTGATTTCCCTGTGACTTAGAAAAGAATGCCTCAGTTCTGAAATAAGTGAAATACAGAGCTGGAAAAATGTTTTAACCTTTAAGATCTTTTTCTGGTGAAAAAACTCAAGTGATGTTGCAAGTTTATGTTGACTTCGATAAATTGTACATTTGAGAGTGGGGCCCTCTCTTTCCCAAATAAAAATTCGAGAAATTTTATTTTTTTTTTCCCCCTGGAACTTTTATTACAAATATCTAAAAAATACAAAAAATACATTGCATTGGAATCCAGATTACTTGATTTTTGCTCCTTTTTCCATTAAACCAAGACTACTTTTGGTTTAAATAATATTTTTTTTTTTTTGATATTTATCTTCGGTCTGGCCGATGAACAGATCAATGGGTTTTATGGTCAGAAAGTTTGTACCATGCCAGATTTACGATGCCAGCTCATGCAAACCGTGGCAGGAGATTGCAACTTGTATTTTTGTGTGTTCCAAGATGTGTGATATGGCTGATGATACAGACAAACTGGTGTTCTTGAGAGAGTTTGAAGTATGGGAGGACTGTGATGAGGAGCTAATTCATTAGCTCTGTACAGTGGCTAAAAAGAGAAGATGAGTGAGCAGGCTTGTTTGACTATGTTTGCCTTTCCCTGCAGCAGAGGGGGAAAGGGACTCTTTGTCTAGTGAAATGACTCCTATTTTCCATTCTTCAGGTATTTATTTATTTATTTTTAAGATATAAACTCATTTATTGATTCTGTTTTGCCAGGTTAATTATTTAAATAAGCTAGAATAATTGGCACTCAGATGATAAGACCTACCATGCTCCTATCAGTCAGTGCTGTAGTAAAGGCCAAAAGATGCCCTCCCTGACCCAGAAGGAGATGCGAGCCAGGCAGGCAGGGTGTAAAAGCCCTTCTCACTTACGTCTCTGCATGTTGGCGAGGCACAGACCTTGGCTTTGTTTTCAGGAAGTAAAAGCTCTCTCTTTCTTCAGCAATTCCCAACAAGGATGGGCGTGTTACTTTGCACTCTGGCCCTCCTGCCTCTCTGGTGGTATGGCCATAAGGGAGGAGAAAGAGGGGAAAGGAGGAGCATGGGTAAATAAGGTAGTGGGTGACAAATTTATGTGGGGCCTAAACAGAGGTGAGAAAGTTTAAAATTATTATTAATTGTTATTATTTTCTAAAAATGCAAATCTCTACTCAAATGGGCACTGATACAGAAATCTGGAGTGACAAGGGTTGGGCAATCAATATCTTTCATCCAAGGCAGGGTCCTGCCAGCCCGTCGTCTACCAACAGCTAATGACTATGGGTACACGAAGCTGTGATATGGTGCGAAGGGGAGCCAGGCAGAGAACGGAGAGATGGATGGGCCACGCAGTGGGTCAGACAGAGGGGCTCAGCTCAAGCGTTTCATGCAGCATGTGGAAGGGGAATGTGAGATGTGGGAGGGCAGCAGATGGAGAAGGTTATTGGGGTGTATTTCCTTTAATGCATCAGGATCTATTGTGTCTGTGGCCTCTCTGCTGGCAGAGAGTTTTGTGGAGATTTCAGTGGTACGAGTGTTTCTGACTTCTCTTTTTCTCCTTGCAGCGCTAGTGATGGTCCTGAATAGCACGAGTGTCAGCTGGAGTGCCCGCATTCAGATTTTCCTTACCTTTTGCAAGCTTGTAGCAATTCTGATAATTATAGTCCCTGGAGTTATCCAGCTAATTAAAGGTATGAAATGAAAAGTAAATGCTTTTAAAGTGCTTTTATCTTTACCCTCCCCAGTCTTTCCCCACCTGCCTCCACCAAATAACGCTTATAGCAGCAAAATCTCTTAATTAGTCTGTGCTTGTTTAACTGAAGCTCTGTACTGTCATGTAATTGATTAGAAGTGGAACTACACTGGGATGAACTGGTATTTTCTTCAGCATGTCAATGAGTCTATTCGTATCAGACTCGTTTTTCAAATGAGCGACAGGATTGCTCTTCTCTGTAATTTGCCTTTGGCGTGAACTTTGTGAAAGGGGAAGGATGGGTTTTAATGACATATGGGAATACCCCCCCCTCGAAAGCATGTGCCTAGTCAGAGCAGAATGTGTCCCCTTCAAGTGAGCTAGTGCCAAGGCCTGCTCAGCATGTGGTGGTGAAGGGGGCTCAGAATTGGAGAATATATGAAAGAAAGAGTATCATGGATGCTGTTCTGCCACTCTGATGATGTGAATTGTGCAGATAAAGGTGCTGTACTGGCAAGAGAGACTGTAGCTTTCGTGTGCTTCCTGCCTGCAAGCACTGGATGCTCATGCTGCATGTGTGCTTTACTTCTTCCAAGTGTAAACCGAAGCATACAGCTAAAGGTAATAGTCTGGGGCTAACCCAAGCATAGGAAAGAAAAGCAGAAGTGTTTGAAGGGCCAGAATTACTCTTTAGACTCTATCAATGTCACTGCATAAGCAAGGATTGTGAAAACACACCTTTGCTCCCCCCAGCAGAATCCAGCCTGGACACGACTGAGTGGGCTTTCCTTGGCTCTCTGGAATCATTTGGGTAAAGCCATGCTGGCAGAGAAGCTCTTTTCACTGACATGCTCAGCTACCTGAGGAGGCTTTTCCATTACAGCCCTATCAGCCGCGGGTGTGAGATGGTGACAAGCCCCCGCTCACTCTCGTTACAATAACACTAGACAATAACCACACAAAGCACAAGGAGCCATTCAGCACAGAGGGTCAGAATGGGGAGCACGTTTTAATGAATCAGTGGCAGATTTTTATCTAACAAAAATTATCACAGTTGTTGGTTCTGTCCCTGGGGATGCTCTTTTATGATGTTTCACAAAGCCTCCCATCTGAGTCAACAGCACAGCATTAGGCTCTGCAGTGAGCTCAATTTCTCAGGGACAGGCAGCTCTCTGTGGTTAGCAATAACCTCTGAAATAAAAGTTTTCCTGTGTAGTGCTCTGCTGATTCACTATTTCTGTTTTCATGTTTTTCACTTCCTTTCTGGAAGTTGCAATGCCTCTTTCCTAAACTCCTTTCACTTACAAAATTTCTCTCTGTTCCTATCTGCCCCATTTTTCTTCGACCTTTGGAGTGGATCAGACCCAGGTTTGGGTGGGGTTTGGTGCCCCTAAGTACCTCAGATAGTGTCCCTGATGCCCCACGGGGACCTTCTTTTGGCCACAGCTCTGCTCTTACCTAAAAACCCTCTCTACTTCAGTGGGAATTTTGATTGAGGGCTCAGTAAAAACTGAGTAAATGGTAGAGGATTTGACTTATTGCTAATTCTAAGTCTGAATGAATTCTCCTTCTTCCTACTCCTTTTCTCTGGAGGGATTGTTGCTCCGCAGGAAATCTGAGATATTGTAGGGAGGTCTTACAAAACACAGAACACCTTGTAAATGGATAAGAGTGTAATGCAACTCTTAGATGTTTTCATTTATAGATATGTAATTCTTACTTAGATAGGTTATAAGTATTTAGTTTCCTAATGTGGTAGGGAGTTACTAATTTTTTCCATGGTAGAAATGTTTAAAACATTGGGTTTGTTTACCTTAAAAATGTTGCTTGTGAGTGAAATGCTAGTAATGTTCCTTCTGATTGAAATGTTAAACAAGTGAAATTTTCCACAGCAAAAAATGTGAAGCTCATTCTGCTCTTTCATACTGATGTAAGTCACTGCTGGAGATGGCAGTGCAGTGAGTGTCATCAAGCTCAGAATGCTTTGAAAAAACTGAATAGGTCAACTTCTGCTATTGCATGACTAGGGACGCCACAAAACCTTTTAGAGTTGCTGGCAGATTACGGCTGCAAGGGTGGGGTCAGAATTTAAGGTCAAGGGCAGAACTTGAGGTCAGTGAACTGTTGGGTGATTAAATGTTCCATGGTGTGATATATTTATTTGTTTTAAAGTAGTAGGTGACCAAAGAGCATATTTTTCAATATTGTTTTTGTTGATGTTGCAGGAGAAACACAGCACTTTAAAAATGCCTTTGCGGGGAATGATGCCAGTGTTATGGGATTACCGCTTGCTTTCTATTCAGGAATGTATGCCTATTCAGGCTGGTAAGTTGTTGAAACCTGTAAGTATTTGTTCTACAACCAAACAGTAATATGCTCTAACAAAGACCTTTATTTATATGAAGAAATGAGTGGCACGTTCTACATCTTTTACCAAACTACATCATGTAGTAAGAGTAGATCTCACCACTGTTCCATATGCTCAGTATTCTGCAAGCAGCTCTATGAAGGAAAGATTTTTCTTCTCCAGTGTACAATAGGTAATCATGCACTGAACACTTAAGAATCAGACTCTTATTTCTGTTCTTAAGACTAGAAATAAAGGCAACAAGAAAGGAATGTTATTAAATTTTCATTAGGGATTTGATAAAAGAATAAAAGTCACAATGAAGCTTTTAATTTTTGTTGAACAAGTCAGTAAATACATGAAAAAGAAATCTATGAACTGTTACAAAGTTGTATGGACCTCAGCCTTTGCTTTGTAAAAGCAGTATTTGAAGAATGAGAAGTGAACCATGATAATACCAGTATAGATGGCAAAACTAAGTAAAAATCTAGATTCTTATGCCCCTTGCTCTGGGAGAATTGACCTCACTTAACAAGAAGTGCAACTGGCTTCCATAGAAGTCAAGTGCTATTGACTGGGAGCAAAGGTATGAGAATCTTCCTTCAAGTATCCTGCTCAGAACTTTCTTTCAAGTTCTCCTCTCCCCCACCAAAGTACACAGCAGCCAGTTTGAAAGGTGCCACCAGTCTTCGAATCTGCCTTACAATTTATTCATGCTTAGTGAGGGCTCTACATCGCACCGTGCCAATGTGCTTTTGCAGCAGCAGTGTGGGTGGAAAAAAAAAGAATACAGTGCACAGAGTGGGCTTATTTTAAGATAACTTTGTCTGCAGGTCTTTCCTTTCCATAGCCTCATAGGCAGCCAAGTTCTTTGCCTCGCACAAAAGGCAAGGGATGAGAGATAAGGGTTTTATTTATTTAATTCAGAGGGACAATGGGCTGAGCATTTGAGTTCTCTGCCTGTCTGTAACTCCCCAGTTTCAGAAGCATTATAAACATGCACACTGAAGTACTGAAGAACTTTTATATTAAATGGTGGTGGTGGTGGTGGTAAACCCAAGAGAGTCCAGAGCCTTTATCTATGATAGATATATAAGAAAAGAGCCTGGCATTTTGAAGCCTCAAAGAAATTGAACTCATTATGCGGATAGTCTCTACCTTCTTCCCTCTCCCTCTCATATAACCACCTCTGTCTCTCATATCCATACATGTGATGGTCTCTTCCTTTTAAAGTATTAACCTAACTGTGTGTTTTTGTATAAAGGCAATTTTAGAAAGCTCTTTTAATATTATTCATCACTGAGGCAGAGCTTGTAGAATGCTACATCAAATATACTGGGGTTTTTGTTGCTTCTTTACCATTTCTTTCCATTTTCCAACTAACATTCCAAACCCCTACAATAAAAATAATCTCTGATTTTTCCTTTATACCTTTTGACTTTTTTTCCAAGGTCCTTATTTGCCACTGATAAAAGCAATTAGTAGGAAAAGACCTAATTTGGCTAGTAGTGGTTCTTCCCAGCTGCCTATTTGTCTTTGTCACCAGCTCAAATTGATTGCCTCAGAGCACGGAAGAGCTGACCATTAAGTGGAGTGTCAATACCCTCACACTATCAGTTTCAAGGGGCTAAATCAATCCAATAAGCTGAACGTGAAGGAGTGTTGCAAGTGTTGGTGTTGTGTCCCAGGATGCGGGCAGAATTTTATGCGTAGCCTATGAGATTATTAAGTTTTAACAATACAGCTTTAAAGAACAAAACAAAGGTAGTATCTTTTATATGTGTGGGTTCATCCTTCAAAGAGCAAGTGTAGACTGTTTGGTATATAAAAGGCTGGGTGAAAAGGGACAAGTAGACAATGGAATGCAAGGAAGCATGTTTTTGTATCAATAAAAGGACTGATGCAAGGTTGTCAAATTATTTTTGTCTAGAAGCAGGACTAAGACCAGAAAGAATGAGCTGAACATCTTGTCAGAAGCCATATCTCCTTTGAACTCTCCTAACCTCTTCTCTTGTGATCTGTGCACTACCAAGTTTAGAAACAAGTACTGAGGTTGTTGTATAAGACGGCAAATTGGCAAATCTATTTTTACACAATTTCATGCTCAGTCACAAAATCACAGTTTTTTAAAACCGTGAGCCAGTGCTAGCTTGTTCTGCTAACCCAGATTTGGTCTAAGCCTTGCAATGGAGAAAAGTTCCCAGACTTTCTGCCAGATCAGGTACCGTCTTTTTATTCACTGTAGCGCTGTTGGGTCAGATATAATCTGTTTTCCTGTATAAAAGCAGAAAGCCAGCATAAGCACTGTATTGACTGCTGTGTAATTAGCCAGGATGTGACTTTGTGCCCGTATCTGAGCCAGGCACATCTGTGCGATGCAGCAATGCACAGACCCAGTGCTAATAAATGCAGAACAGAGGGTTCAATGACCTTGAGGCTTATGGTCGCTTTGTATGCAGTGCTGTGCCTGGTGAGTAGTTCCTATGAATTCCCACACGTAGCTGTCTCTTGCACGCTGCTGGAATACAACCAGAGTGCAACCTATGCTGGAGGTTGTGCAAGAGCACACAGGATAAGCACCCTGGGTTTGTGGTTCTATATGACACACTAATGTCAAAATCCTGGATTTAGGAGGGTTTTCTGAGGCTTCATTTATTTTTATTGTTAAGAAGTCCTTGCCAAGTACCCTGATGAAAATTTTTGCCAATATAACCTGAAATTTTAAAAGGCTACAGCCACAAATGGAATATGAAGCTTGAGAGGGTGTGTGCATTTGTGTATAGGATTAAGGTAAACCATAATTTGCCTCGTATGCTGGGGAAAAAGATTTAATTCCACACCAACATCACATAGTTTTTGTCTTTTCTCTGCTTTACTGTCTTTTCTTGACCATTCCCTTCCTGAGTGTGGAGACGAGGGAATGTTAAATCTCACACTCTCCTTAATCCAAGCATGAGTGTGCAAAGTCTATTATAATTAACAGTAGAGTTTAACTAAAAGCATGTTCTTTATCTTTTGGGAAAGAAATACAGAATAAAAATCTAGCGAGGCCTTACAATACATTTTTATAACTCTTTTCTAGGTTTTACCTCAATTTTGTTACTGAAGAAGTGGAAAACCCTGAAAAGTATGTACCCAATGTTTTTCTTGACTTTTGAAAAATGGTTGCAAAATTTAAAATGCTATAAAAGTAGTGATCTTCAGAAATTCTGCATGCTGGTCAAGTTTCTTGCTTTCCAGCAGATCTGGTATCAATTTGAATTGCAACTGCTTGAAGATTTGCTATTTTTGGCCTGTTGTGACCTTGTTATGTATTCTGCCTTTATGTGCACAGAAAGCAGAAAACTAAGTAGATCTCCAGGGCTCTGGTTCTCCCCCTCAGGATACAAGTAACTACCAATGGCTCCTTTTAGTGGAAGTTACTGGTATCCTGTCAGGGAAATCTTGCCCAAGAAACTTATCTACCGCAATATTTGGCAGTTTTGCTATGTTTAAATATTAATCAAATACTTAGTTCTACTTGTTTTAGATGTCTCAGAGTTGCAGGATCTTGAATACACATAGCACAGCATCCGATCCAATTAAGCCAAACAGAGGATATTGGTGGGAGTCTGTTTTGAACTAGAGATGAATAACTCTTACAGTGCCTGTCTATAAAATAAGGAAAGAAAAGATGGCCGTTAGGGAGAGTTTGTTTTGGCAGGTCTATTTTGGTAGGTATGTTTTGGTACATGTAGCTAGTAATAATATTAACCTTTTCTAAAAATTAAAGAAAATATGCCTTGTCAAGTCAAATTGTGTTCTTTGAGGAAATTAACAATTTACTTGACTAAAAATGAATGGATAGATATAATTTCCTAAAGTTTTTAAAATATGATACCTGGATGCGTACTTACTGTTTAAAAAGACTCCCAGCACTGTAGACTCAGAGATTATGAAGCTACATATCTGAGACATGTCAAGAAAAAAACAAGCCCCAAACAGCCATCGATGGAGAGCATACAGAAGGTTTTTATTTGGTTTCTTCAAAGTCTGGACCAACACTGGTGCTGTTCAGTATTTTCTCCAGACACCTGAAAATAATTATAAAGAAACTGTTGATGAAGTATGAGGATGGCAGAAAGACTGGCAGATTTCCATTGTTTCAGTGCCTTGGAGAGATCTTGGGTGCTAATGGGCTCTTTATTGTGATCAAGATATGTATACCAATGAATGTATGACTTCAAGATGAAACCAGACAAATGCAGGTAGAAAATACAGCACTGATATTTAGCAAGGTGGTTGACTAATCATTAGCACAGATATCTGTCTACAATCAGGTTTTTCACTGGTAGCCTTAAGTTCAGACAGAACACCTTTTTAGAAGCTGTTCTTTAGTAAAATACAAGTCTTTTGGCTCAGTAGAGAGCAGTTGGCTAATGCTTCCCAGGCCTGGGACACACAGGAACTCAGACTAGACAGTCTAGTAGCAAATCTGGGTTTAACTACCAAGAGTCTGCGTACTCTATAAAGTCAGGGGAGGTAGACATTTGAATAAAACACACTTTTTTTTTTTTTTTACTTTTCAAAAATCTTTGTATGGCAGACTGACTTGAAAATAAATGTGAAACTAAATAAAGGAGTGTAGTGATTCTGGTTCAAGACTTCTACTGTTTCAGGAAATTCTGAGGATACGGGTTAGGAGCCGGAGCCTTGGTGATGTGATCAAAAGCATTTGCTAGAAGCAGTACAATTTGTAAATTATCTTGTGGTTACCATCAATACTGTGTGATGTTTTTAAACATGGACATGGCTACTACCCTTTGGGATTTTTCATACACTTATCTGTCTCTGCAGTCCTCTTAACTGTATCATGATTAACTGGAATTATTTATAATTTTCATTACAGCTTTTTTTGGTTTATGTTGACTTTTTTTCCCTGTGGTTTGAGTCAGATGAGCATATATTTTTGAACATGTTGCCCTCTGCTGCGTGGGACAGAAAGGCATAGTTCCTTTTTATTATTTTTTTTTCTTCTTTTTTGACTAAGCACCCATTGAAGCTTGTTGTATCACAGCTAAGAAAAGTTCTGTGGGTTAGATTTTGGAATTTCCATTATTGCAGCTGTGATGGGAGGGAGGGAGACGTTACCTTTTCTGCCCCAAACTTTGGAGAGCTTCTTTGTTCTCCAGGTTACCCTTGGAGAGCTGCTGAAGTTAATTGTGCTGCTAGTGGGGATGCAGGACCAGGGGACAAGCTACATAGCCTGGCTGGTTCAGTGTTTTCCAGGATGGCTCTGGAAAAAGCAGCTCAACTTTACATGTGCAATGTTGTTGCAAAGCTTTTAAAGCTTTTCTTCATCACCCTTCTTGGGGTTGCACTTTGAGAGGACAAGGGAAGATCCCCAGTGTTTACAGCAGGGTGCCTGGGATCACAATCTCCATGGAAAGGCACAAATTATACAGTAGAAGAGATTGGGACTTTAAACATTGCTAAATAAGTGGCAGGTGATGGCAGGGCAAGTGGATTGCTGCTGTCTGTGCTGATGGAGACCTCTGCACCAACTGTAAACTGGACTCAACCTGACACAAGCAAATAAACAAAACGGAATATTTTTTTTTTATCCAGTTGCCACCTGTGAATGGCTTTGTTGGACACATCCTGCTGAACAGGGGCCTGCTCCACCACCATTCCCAAAGATACAGGGCAAGGGAATAGTGTGGACTAATCCCAGGGGCAACTTTCTTGGCTCCCACCAAACTCAGTGCAGGCATTAGTTGAGCCACTAATTGTGTTGCTGTTGTAGGCGTTCATTAGAACTCAACTGCTTTTTTATTTTTAATTAAAATGCTGTCTTTCATTCTTGTTGTATGCCTTATGTTAAAGGTGTGGAGGTATTCTGTAGCTGTTTTTAAAGGGTAAGAGGGAAGTATAGGCTTGAACCAGCTAGAGTCTGTAAGAGCTCCGGGCGTGCAATTTGTAATGTTTGTCAATGGTTAAGGATGCAAATTACTTACAGTGACAGAGGTGAGCACAGTGATGCCTTCTGCAGTGCATGTGCCAAGGTAAATGTTTGCCTGAGAAGCCATCACAGTTGCGTATTTCCAGGTGTGCAGCAGTTTTTGAAGTAACTGACAGCTGGTGCTGAGATGAATGATCAGCACCGTCCCTGCGTTAACCAGCCTGCTGCGAGTCCGCAGTGAAGTGTACCGAAAGAGTTGTGGGGAGGACAGGACAGTTACAGCAAGGGGAGTACAGAAATGCTCTAGCAGAGAGAGGAGGTGCAGTGGAGCTGCCAAGGGCCCACGTTTGTGGAGACCTGCCTTTAAGCCCCTTTTTATATGGTGAGTCCTGGACTCCCTCTCTGCTCTTGTGGTATTGTGGAGGGTGAGAGAGAGATGGGTCAGGGCCCAAAAATATATCCTGAAATGCACAGGAAGCTGGAAGCGTCTGTTTTTAGACATTAAAGTTTTCCAGATAGGGATTGCTTTGTTTGCTGTGGGTGTGCAGCACCAGGAAAGCTTGCTGGAGTACAGCAAGTGCCATGGGAAATGTCGGGGAGGCAGGGGAAGGGGGGATGCTCGTGACCTTGCCCAGCTGAAAGCTGCCTTTGTGCTCTAGTGGAGTGGCTGTTTGTACCAGCAGAAAGGGCTCCTGAAGGCTGTGGGAGTCTGTGTAGGTGCAGCAGTCTGCTCAGGCGCAATAAATTGCAGATTTAGGTCTATAAATAGGATAAATACTATGGGCCTGAGGCACCGAGATACCTAGGTGATATTGAAACACTAGATAGAGAGAGCTGACACAGAGGCAGTGGAAATGAGCCAAGCGGAGAGGGAAGCGCCCTTTAAATTATAGAAGGGAGAATAGAAAAGGAAAAAAAAAAAATCTGAAAGTGAATGCCATTACTTTTTGAACAGATTTTTGGAAGTGGTGCTGAATTCTCGCTTTGGAAATGTTCCAGTCCCTTCTTTTGTATAAGAAAAAGGACATTATTATAACCCCGATTATCATAAGATGTAAAAGTAGCTGTTTCTGTCTCCTGCTAAACCCCCTTTTGATGTCTCATTTGTAAGCCTGGACTCATTTCTTTATTCCTCTTTGTTGAAGTGCTTCCCTCATGCAGCATTAGTAGGACCCGAAGCAACATGAAGTTGATGTTTGTTTTACAAGAATCTCCGGTTGCAGTGTCCAGCTGCTTTAATGTACTTTTTTTTTTTTTTTTTTTTTTTTTTTTTTTTTTTAAGAGCCTGAAATAGTTTTATTATCAAGAATATGTGTAACAACATTGAAGTGTAATAACAAATCTCTTTTACTTCTGGTACTTTTTCACTGCTTTGCATGTGTGTGCCGCATCAATAGTGATTGCTCTTTGAAATGAAATATCTGAATAATCCTTGAAGCAGAGCTTCACCAAAATAACCTCATGCAGCCACGTCACATGCAGCTTTGATCTTTTTTATTTTCTTACATTATAAGGATCAGCCCTACTCAAACTGAGGTCGTATTGTATTGTCTAAATAATAAGTGAATGGAGGAACAGCCGGGTCTCTGAGAGAGAATTTGTCACCTGAAAATTGACAGGAGCCGTGTTGCCTGGAGCAGTAAATTTAGAGGACTGGAAATCAAGCATGTTGAACTTTCAAACTCATTTCTTATACATAGTCTTTGAGCTCATCTGTATTCTTGAGCATCCACTCTGTACTCTCAAGAAACAGACCAAGTTTTTTGAATCAAGACCCTAAAAGCAACTCATGCCCAAACAGTGCTTCCCTCCTCTCCTCCCAGGCAGAGCAGAGTCCAAGATCAGCACTCTAGTTTGTCAGGAATTTTGACGGACTCCAGATGAGAAAATAACACAGGAGTGTTTTTACATTGCAGCAGTGTCTTCAGAGCCTCATCATAGTCAGGGCCAGATAGTGTCAGATGCTGGCCAAAAAGAATCCTGCTTTTCAAAATTATGTTCTGCGTCTTCAGTATGAGCAGATGATGAGCCCGAAGGCTGCAGGTTATAAAGATTAGGCTCTTTTTGGAAGAGAAAGAAATTATTATTTCACTTTAAGGGAAGGGAAGCTAAGACTTGAATTCCTTAATGACTTCAAGGAAGTCTGTAATCAAGTGAGCAACTAGAGGTATTGATTCACAGTCCCC